GGTTGTAAAATGTTCTACACAAAAAAAATATTGACTATTTTGATACTTATGCTCTAGTAAGAATTTCTACAGTACATATTTTAATTGCCTTAGCTTCTATTTACAAGCTTTTTATACATCAAATAGATGTCAAAATTACTTTTTTTCGAATGGTGATCTAGAAAAAGAGATTTATATGGTTCAACGTGAGGGATATCTTAGCTTCTATTTACAAGCTTTTTATACATCAAATGGATGTCAAAATTACTTTTTTCGAATGGTGATCTAGAAAAAGAGATTTATATGGTTCAACATGAGGGATATAGAGTTCCTGGGTTATAGAATAAAGTTTAAATTGAGAAAGTCCCCATATGGTCTTAAACAAGAACCAAAACAACGGCATGAAAAATTTGATCAAGTTATTTTGAATAATGTTTTCTCATCAGTTGATGTGGATAAGTGTGGGTATACAAAAGTTGGTAATAATAAATGTGTGATTATTAGTTTATATGTGGATGATATGCTTATAATTGGTACTAGCATTGATGTAGCGCAAAGCACTAAATGCTTTCTAGCTTCAAAATTTGATATGAAAGACACTGGTGAGGCTAGTGTGATTTTGGGTGTTAAAATCATGAGAGACAATGGTCTAGTGTTGTCACTGTGTAGAGAAACTTCTTAGGAAGTATGATCACTTTGATGTGACACATGTGAGTACTCTTTATGATGCACATACTTAATTATAGAAAAATCGTGGCTATCCAGTTGCTCAGATTAAATACGCTCAAACTAATGGGTGCCTTAATGCATGTAATGAACTTTTCTAGACCTGGTATAGCTTATGTTGTGTGAAATTTAGTGGATATAATATAATCGTGATCGTTAGGCTGGATTAGTCAAACTAATGAAATGTTTAAGAGGTACCACGAACTATGACATTCTATATAGTGGATTTCCTGTTATATTGAGAGGATACAATGATGCGATTTGGATTTCTGATTCGTACAAGACTAATTCCACTAGTAGTCATGTATTCACTCTTGCGGGGGTATAGCTACATGGAAATTAGCCAAACAAACTATAATTGCTAGATCCACCATGTAGTCATTGTTTACAGCTCTAGAATTAGTTGGTACTGAGGCTAAGTGATTAAGAATTTTTTTGGCCGAGATTCCGCTAGGAATGAAACCGACACTATCTATGTCGATACACTGTGATTGCCAAATAGCGATAACCATTACAAAGAACAAGACTTTCAATAGCGAAAATCAACATATTAAATTGAGACACAATGTGGTAAAATAGCAATTAAAACATGGAATTATATCCATCAATTATGTAAAGTTAGAAGTGAATTTGACCGATCCTCTAACTAAATCATTGGGAAGAAAATTAATTCTTGAACATCGAGGTTAGTGGGATTGAAGCCTGTATGAGATATCAACATTGATTATACATTGGCCTATGTATTGGAGATCCCATAAAGTAGGTTCATATGGATAATAACAAGTCCCTTGATAATAATATGGATAATAACAAGTCACTTGATAATACTGAAGCACTACAAAATTAACTAAGTCCTACTATGATATATGATTAGTACTTAAGTACAATTTTAATGTGAGGTTGAGCTAAGCTCTTAATGTATTATGTAGCCTTTAGGGATGGTGTACAAAGTTGCAGTGAACACTTGATGGAATTCCCTATATGAGTGTGGAGTGGGGGCTGGTCCCATGAGATTGTGGTAAAATCTCTCGAGCACTCATAATGACCAGGCATGTGGGTAACGTGATCGTTGAAACCCTCAACTTACAATAATAGTGTATTGGGCATAGAAGCTATAAGCTTCACCGATAACTCTGTAAGTTATGTTTCATATTTTTTAAATCTAGTTCATAGTTTGAAAGACACCGAACTCAAGTCATTTACATTTATGTGTATAGACCTAATAAAATCTTTTATAATATGTGGGGGATTGTTGTATAAATAGTTTAAAAGAATATCTTTCACTAATTCATATGAATTGGCTATTATTTTCAACGATCAATTGATCGGGTCTTAATGCACATGCTTATTTGTTGCTTACACAAAATGAGCAACTTATAGCTTATTGATTTTATTGGCCACGATGATTACAAAAGAAGTTACATTGAACTTGTTCATTCATTTTAATTTTGTAAAACTTATCTCTTCTTAATTAGTGCTTATGTTAATTTTCTTACACACCATAGATATCTCAACAAAAATGGATACAATGGTGGGCGTAACAAAACAGAACTAAACTCGACGTTCAGTAGCAAAAAACACAGCTTTTTCGGGTGGATACATGAATTTGTTCCAGGTGCCATTGGTGTGAACAATACTGCAGCCATAGCTTAAGTAGAATAAAACCTAAAATTGCTGCAGAAACATACACATGTTTTGCCTTATGTTCATGTGCCTAGCACGATTATTCAGTCTCAAAGCCCAAAATCAGTTGCTTTTTACATGAAAGAGACATGGTGCCATAGCCAATGTCAAAATATTGAAAGCAAAAAAGCCATTTTGCTCAGCTGACTGTTCCCCATCTTCTCTTACATGTACAGAAAAAAGTTCTTTTCTTCCTTTTTAAATGTCAAATGAAGACACGTATTAAAGTCTGCCAAGGAATTTGATTAATTGTAATAAGTTAACTTAACGGTAATTGTGTCAATTTAAATTGGTTGCGACTTGTGATTAACCCCAACCAATATGGATAAACATATGGGAAAATTTTATAAGTAAGAGTTTAAGTATCACACATTTCAAAATTAAGAAAACAAGTTTCAAATTTCAAAAATCATATTTTTATGAAAATGTTTTATGATTTAATTAATTAAATATATTTAAGTCACAAATCTATATAATTTGATCACAAATTAACAATTTAATTTGTCAATTATTATTTTTTGGCCACAAATAAAATTTTTTATGTTACAAATTATTTTACAATCACAATTCAAAAATTTTATAGGTCATAGTTTGTTTATCGATCAAAAATCAAAAAATTTATAAGTCACAATTTATTTATTGATCACAAATCATAAATATTAAAAGTAACAACTTATTATACAGTCATAAATTATGAATCACATATTAACAATTTTTTTATATCACACATTATTTCCTAGCCATAATTTATATTTTTTATTGGTCACGGATTAACCAATTTAATGGTCATAGTCGACCAAATTATTTGTAACCACCACTAACACTTGCGAGCACCATCTCACCACTACTTTCACCACCACCACCACCACCGCCACGACGTTGACAAAACCACCACCACCTCAAACAAATCAACCCATTTCGGAAAACCACCACATTGTCGATGCCAGATCCACCACCATTGCCACGACCACCACCTAAGCTAACATCACAACCACCACCAACAAATCGAATCCAAAATTGCTAGCGTCCCACAACCGCCATCATCACACCACCTCATCGTCGTCGCCGTCACCACCCCATCGCCACCGCCACAACCTGCACCTCCACCAACCATTGCTACCACTCGAACAAACAAAACCAAAACCATCCTTACCTCGTCCAATTACTTGAAAGTTGCCGAGCCCTGCCCTTGATGCTGTACAGAAATTAATTGTCCACGGCTACCTTCATGGAGAAGCTGACCCCAATGATGGCGCTGATGCAAAATTATTGTCCAAATTGATTGAATCTGTCTACAAATGTCACGATCTGGGTGATGAATTTGTGGTAAATCAGAGAATGCCATCTCGTAAGAGGTGATGTGTTGGTGGTTTTCGACGAATGTTTACGGTTTGCCACTCGTAGTGGCGTCGGAGAGACGACGGAGAAGGGAGGAAGAGAGAGAGCTAAGAAGAGGAAGGAGATTTACGGGTTTGGGTAGTGGGTATGGTTTTGATATTTTCCTAATTTTATTAGTTTATTTAAGTAATTAATATAAAAAAAATTGATTTTTGAATTGTAAAACTTCCTACCTGATTTTAGAATGCTGAATTTTTAAGGTAGAGTGTGGTGTAATTTGCACCAAATATATTTTATTTTAAAAAGGCTAATTCCGACCTTATTTGATCCAGATAATAGAGTAAGCCTTCGTTTGGTAGCAATTTTTCACCTCAAAATATTATTTTTTTGAGTGTTGTTTCACTATTTCAATCGTTATTTTTTTACTCTTCAATCTAGATGGAATTCACTTTTTTCTTTAACGGTAAAAAAATCAATTTTTATAATGGGAAATTTCATAAGTGAGAGATTAAGTATGATAGATTTCAAAATTAAGAAAACAAGTTTCAAAATTCAAAAATCAGATTTTTATTATAATTATTTATGATTTAATTATTTTATTAATTTAATATATTTAGGTCACACTTTGTGAGCACAATTATCTAATTAATTAGTCATGGATTAATTTTTAGTTACAGCTTATCAAATTATTGGTCGGAACGTATTTCTCGACCACAGATCGAAAATTTTATAGGTCACAAAATATTTTTCGATCACGAATCCAAAATTTTTACAGATCACAGATTATTTATCGGTCACATATCAGATTAATTTTTAGTCACGACTTATCAAATTATTGGTCGTAACTTATTTTTTGGTCATAGATAAAAATTTTTATAGGTTACAGAATATTTTTCGGTCATGAATCCAAAAACTTTATAGTCACGGATTATTTATCGGTCACATATTCAAAACTTTATTGGTCACAATTCATTTACTCATTACAAATTATTAAATTAATTGGTCACGATTAATTTTTCGATCACAACTTAATCAATTGTGAGTCACAATTGGGAGTCACAGTCACAATTTTCAGGTCACATATCCAATTGCGAGTCACAATCGAGAGTCACATGCATAGTCACAAATTTCAGCACCACCACCATCGCTGCCACCGCATTCAGCAAAACCCACCCCAAATTGCATCCATCCATTTCTCTAAATCGCAATGGCAAACGCCACAGACAGCACCACTCACGTCACCCATTTCTACAACCTTCTCCCCTATTTTTTTATGTGACTTTTGCGTTGGAAATTTATAAGATGTATCCCTCTTTCTGCGGAAAGCATTATTTCATTATTTCTTTAATTGAATTTTTTTTTATTTGAATTATGCTGACAGTTCCTGTACGTTCGATAACCTTTTTCAAGGAAATATAGAATAGTGAGAACATTTAAATAAGTTTGATGCTTCAGTAGATCATAAAACCTGCTTTTCGAAGATCTTTTCCTTCTCTCTGGGGCATCTGGTCATTACTATTTTAGGTGTATGGATCATTTTTGAATATTTGAAGCTAATTTGTTAATGAGTATGTTACAAGTTATACTGGATGGATATACAAAGTTGTGTTGTCAGTCAGTACCCTTTTTTTAATTGTATGTGCATCCAATTCCATGTTCATAAATTTTTAATTTTTCTGTATGGTTTTATATGTATCAACTTCTACGAATAAAATGATGTTCCCATGAGTGTGTGTGCACATGAAGACCTCCACCTAAAAGAATCTCAAGCAACTATGAAAAAGATAGTTATGTACTGGAAATATGGGCATGCCTAGGGAAAAAATTTAGTGAGAGGATGTATTATAGGTCAAGCTCAAATCATTTGCTTTTATGTGCTTTCTGTGAGTTATATTTGATGGATGTGCCAAAGTTATGGGAATAATGCATGTATGATAAATTTCAATTTTTTGGCTGACTTTTGATGCCAGATCCTATATATTGCTCCCCTAAGATTTGAAGTGCATAAATTTGAAACTTGTGTTTTTGATTTTTGAGAAAGATAGCAAAAAGATTATGGAATGCCAAATTGTGTAATTCTTCTTCAAATACGCATTTACTAAGCCCTATTTCGACCCTCATGTTCTAAAACCATTTTTTTTTTTTTTTCAAGTTCAATTTCGATTACACATTATCAGTAATTTGTATGTGAACCTGTAAGTTTCTCCTACTTATACCACAAATTTAAAAAAAAAAAAAAAAGGGGAAAGAAACCTTTCACAAAATTAATTCTTATAAAATCTCTATCAAATGGGCTTAATGTCAATTTGGATTTGGATTATAGATATGACACATACTAGTGCAATACTTTTTTTTTTCAGGCTAGAAGTTTGATTGTGGAAACTGTATTACTGTCCTAAATGGAGACTTCTAAGTAAGCCTTTTTCGCCTATAATAAATTTTTGGGTAACTTTCTTCTTCACCCTGAGTTGGGCTTACCTGATTTGACTATGGAAATGTTGTAGAAGCTCTCTTATTTCTCTTGTGCATGCACTCCTGTCACTGGATGTAAAAGCCAAAAAAGAGAACTGCTGGGACTTAACTATCTGCAATTCTTATGTCTTGGAGCTACGTCAATGCATATAAATTATATGAAGTTGTAATACTTGCAGGCCTGAGGATCTTCGTGCTCGATTTGGGAAATTTGGGCCTCTTAAGGACGTTTATATCCCTCGCGACTACTACACTGGGTGAGTAACCTCTGTTATTTAAGCCTCTTCTGCAATGTCCCAGTTAATTGAAATGGGGATTGAATTTAACTAGTTTAGGCAACTGTCATGTGGTTATTGCCGTTGCTATGCTACCTGGTCTGCACCTCTTCTTTTCATCTTCTTTAATTGTTTTCTCGAAATTCCTTTTTTTGGTTGAAAGTGTTGAAGATATCGATGAAGTAATAAGAGGCCAAGATGATCTAATGAACATGAAGATTGAAGCAAGATGGGTATTAGTACTGTTATGAAGATGTGTTGAAGTCACGAAGAACATCAAGTCTTAATGGTTTTGTGAGGTTAGCGGCCATGTAATTGATTTATTGATTTCTCATGGGTATGAGCTATGTTTCTTTGTGATTAAGGTTTGCTTAGCTTCATATAAGCATTGGAGATGTACCATCTACATCTCTTACTCTGATGTCTTTAGGATGTGAGCTATTTTTTTCACATGATTCATGTTAAATCATGCAGAGAGCCGCGTGGCTTTGGTTTTGTGCAGTTTGTAGATCCTGCTGATGCTGAAGAAGCCAAATATCAGATGGATGGGCAAATTCTTCTTGGGCGAGAGTTGACTGTCTTATTTGCAGAGGAAAACAGGAAGAAGCCCTCTGAGATGAGGGCTAGAGAAAGAACAAGGTAAAAGTGCTTAAGTTCATTTTTGTTAATGTTTACATTATTCCTTCGGCGGACTTAAAATTACTTACAATGCGAGAGCACCTAAAGTTTTCGTTTCTAATTTAATATCCTGCTGCTGCTGTCAGTCGAAGGTCCCCATTTGGTTATTCTCGATCGCCTCGCTATGCACGTCCATATTCCCGCTCACCGAGTTATTCTCGAACTTACTCTCGAGGTCATGATTACTATTCTCCATCTCCGAGGGGAACTTACTCCCGAGCGCATGATTATTATTCTCCATCTCCGAGGAGAAGACGCTACTCAAGGTTTATAATTATTAACTCTTATGAGAAATATTAATCTTAGAATTGGTTATATATCATGAAAATTAAAATTGCTTCTTCCGTACAGGTCCATTTCCCCTCGTGACGTGGGGTATAGAAAGAGGTCTTACTCTAGGTCTCCTTATGGCTCAAGGAGCCGAAGTCGAAGCCCAGTCAGGAGCAGGAGCCCTGATGACTACTCAAGATAATAGCTGGTAGTCGGTGTGGTATTTCTATGTAGTCAGGGTGCGTTGGTGGCTTCAAGTATTAGAAGAGTTGGATTTTAACCTTGGATTTGGTAGTGTTTACGTTTTGTTGGAACCTCTGGTAATTGGTAATCTCATTTAAACTGATGGCTAATGTCTTAAAAAGTAGGTTCTATTATGACCAGTCACTAAATCTTGGTGAAACCTAAAAGTTACGACGTGTGAATATTGGTTACGTTATTTATTCTTTTTACTTTTTAGACGGTTGATGGCAGGGTTACGCAAGTCTTGACAGTTCCCAAGCTGTGTTTAGAAACACCTTAAAAGGTATGGGATAGTGGTCTAATTTCTAGATCAACAATTGATATGATTACAGTAAGCCTGCCCTTTGACGCACCAAAGGGTTCACATGAGGATGTTAATGTATGAAAAAATAAAATAAAATATTCTCAAGTCAAAAACCATGAGCTTGAGTTTGTGCAAATAAGCGCCAGTGTGTGTGATATAAAGTTGAGAGCAATTTGAATATTAAGAAAGAGCGGTAATTATTCGATTAAATTTAAATTAAATATGGATTACGTTGAGAAGTTGCATCAAGTAGTGGACGCTATAAACTCTTCTAACGGAGGTCATAGAGGGTGCATTCCATTTTTTTTTATTGTTTTGCATGCTTCTTCCATTCATTCTCGACGAAAGGGATAAGGCCCTATTTTTTTATTTTTTCTGTACTTCATTCTGATTTAATACTTTTTGTCAAAATAAAATTTGTCATATAAGTAAAATTGACAATGTTTCATAAACTCATCTTTAATAGAAGTTGACATAAACTTTTATCAAAAAGAAAAAAGACACTAACGTAGATTCAGCAGTTCAGTTATACGTTGACGTGAATTCTATGCGGGTTTTATATGCAAACATATATTCCTGAGTTTATTTTAAGAAATTAAGAGACTTAGACATTAAAAAAATCAAATTTGTCTATTACAAGACGTCAATATTGGGTGTATTGATTTTTTTTCTCCATTTATATGCTACTTAGTAATTCATAGAATTTGACTTTCTACTACTAAAAAATGCAAATCACGGCTACAAAGCTTTAATGCGACATGGAACATGAGTGAACATTATGAAAATGAGAAATATCTTGGCCGGTTAAGTTTCTATGTGATGTATGCAAGATCAAAACATTGGCGATTCTATGTCAAGCATGTTATATGACCTCAAAAAATTTTCACATTTGAAAGAATGCTGGACAGTAGACATACGACAACGAGATCGTTACTAAAAAATTAGAGAATAACGCTATGTGTCGCCTTCCAGATGGCGATATGATTCATGGAAAAATTTTATATGCAGATTGGTACTTACATATTACAAAACGCAGAATACATGTACTGTAGCAGATTAATATCAAAAAGGAAGTAAAATTAAATTTCCACACAGCATCCTGATTGCACGAGACCAGAAAATTCAAGCGGCACATCGATTTTCACCAGTTTTCCATTTTGCCCTCCTTTCTTATCCCCCAAAAAGAACCCATGTGGTGCGCCCTGATAAGCTGACCCTATAACCAAGCTCTGATCTCCAATTCCAAAACCGCAGGTCCCGACTCGTACAACCGACTCTGACTCCGCCCAGCAAATTAAGTTTCCACTCTTCACGCCAACGCATGATCTCGGACACTGACTGGCCCTCCAAGCCTCCTCAACTCGCCTCCACTCACCAGTACTCAGGTCATAAACCTCTGCGCTCTTTTTGAACGCCCCTTGCGACTCGGTGTCGTATCCACTCACCACCCAGAATTCGGACCCAATTATTATTCCTTCACATTCGTCTCGTTCATCACTCATCCGGGTCAACTCAACCCACTCATTCTTCTTGATGTCAAAGAGCCACGCTGTGTTCAAAGCGTTTTTGCTCTTGTCATGCCCTCCAGCAATCAAGACTTTCCCTTCCACAGCCCCCATGGCAAAGAATGACCGAGTTGAGGGCATATCAGCACACCGAACCCACCTCCGAGTCGTGAAATCGTACGCAAACACCTCATTAACCGGGTCCCAATTCGATGGGTTCCATCCTCCCATAACTATAAGCTTCCCTTCAGTACTGGCAAGTTGGCAGAACAGAGGCAACCCACCTGGGTACTTGGGTACCGGTTCAACCCAGTCCCAACACCGAGTCACCGAATCAAACACTGAAATCCCATACCTGGGCTGACCCACCGGCTTCGACTCGGAATCTTCAACTGGTATCGCTTGAACCAGGCATGCTACTTTCCGAGTAAACCCAGTTTGCTTCCGGTGGTAATAGAAATCCCTACTCCGAATAAGCTCACGCCAACGGCTGCATACAAGAGATGAAACTAGGTGTGCTGAGTAGTGCAACCGAGTCAAGCACTCCAAAGCAAGTTCTTGAGGTAATTCTGGGATTAATTCTTGTTCATTCATGGTATAAATTGTGAGCAACGGATTGAAGAATTTTGATATGGAGAAGTGTGGTGAAGAGTTGGATATTTATAATCTAATAACAAGGAAATAAGCTCAGTTATATTGGATATGAGTTGACACGTGGCGCTCATTGTATAGATATCAGTACCATGGATTTGAGAACCTTCTTTTAAAAAGGGTAGAATTAAGTGTGTGCACTTCCATAGCGGTTACCGTGCGCTCTCTATTGATATTTATTTGGTTAATTAAAAGACAAAAGAGAAAATACCAAAACGAGATTTTGATTAATCCTAGACTAGATAGGCCTAGGGCCTGGACTTTATTGGTTTGATACAACTTTTTCGAAGTTGTAAAATTAAAATCAAACACAGTTTATGAAATAACTTTATTACAGTCATTTATGATTACAGAGTAAGTACATATATAGTATCTACGTTCTCTTTTCTAGAAATTTTTGACAATCAACTTGCACTGTAAGTTGTAGGAGTGGAAAAAGGATTGATATGCGTTTGATTTATATAAAGGTTGAACCTTTTAACTTTGAAGGTCTTTACCATCGCACTCCTAAAATTTTGTAAAGGAGTTAAATTGCGAGATGTGCATTAACAGGCCAGAAAATAAAAATTGTTTGTACATTGCATCTATGAGGAGTCAAATTTCATGTCTCAAAAATCGAACCCCCACATTACGACTATCAGTAATGCGTGAGATGATCTCACTCCTATTCTTTGTACCATTAGACTATGTCTCGAGTGACTGCTTTTGATTTATAAAATCATAGAAGAGAGAGGAAAGAGGATAAGGTTTTGCCGAGATGGGCTCAAATTGGCCCTCTCTCTTTAGTGGGCCATATTAAAGGATAAAGAGATAAACTTTAGGCCGTTTGCTGTATAATATTATCATCTTTCAAATAAAAAATGGACATGTGGTCCCATTTCAACTGTTACTAAAAAGGCAACAGTAAGTATTGTTAGTTATCAGCACGCATCAGAAAGAATAATTATAATGTGTTAAAATAGAAATAAGTCCAATTAAATTATCATCTGATATCAACCGATAATTATACTTAAATGAGAAAATATTAAAGGAAAAATAAAAATTAAACCTTATCAAGAGGCTTGACTTTTTGAATTGATTTGGTAATTGTGGTATGTAACAGTTTAGTGACTTAATGAGTAGACTTTGGAATTAACAATATACTATAAAAACTTGATCTAAGAAGCAAGTTTAATGTGGACCTTTGGAATTTCATTATTGATAATCAACAATAATTCTTTGAAAATTCAATAGCTTTCTAATTTATTTTTCCCCCCTAATGCAGATGTTACAACTCTTAACACATTCCTTATCCAAAACCCAATCCCAATCCCAATCCCAGTCCCAATCCCTCCTCCATATTCATGTTGACATTTGTAAATAATTAAAAACTTTTATTTCCAACGTAATTTGTGTGTCATCTTTAAACGACGACAACTATGTCCCTCCAGGGCCCATTCATGACAAGAATTAAGACTAGTTTGGGTGGACTATAAACAATAATTTGCCTTCCATATTGTACGTGAACTGACAAAAAGCGTTGATTACATGTGACAAAAATGGGAAACATTATGACTACGACCAGATTAACGTCGTAGCCCCTATAATTTTTACAGGGATCGAGCTACACTTATAGAGAAGATTCTTACAGATGTTTCACAGATCAGTCACAATGGGTGGAGTCGGTGTTATTTTTGGCCATTTTTTAATGCATCGTATCCTACGTGGGCTTGACCTCCATGAGAGTGACCTGTAAAAGGTCTGTAATATCATCATCTGTACATCCAGTTTAATCTTTTGTACAGATATGCTACAGGTACAATTATTTTGACAGCATCTATGACAACTCTCTCATATTAGGGGATGAAGTCCGCAATTAAAATAATCGCGAACCCCACGTTTTGTGAGTGTGCTGTAAATATGATCACCACTTGGTGCTGTACATATACATTTTCCTAATTTTTATTAGTTGTTACCATTATTATGTTGGATGCAAGAGAATTAAAGCATGCCCATGGAATGGAATTTTCTATATGCGGCATATCAACGTTTGAGAGAGGTGCGTATCATATGTGTATTTTTCATCTCGAAACAGTTGGAAAGGGACATGCCATGTTTCGACTCACTGACTATAACTGTCAACCACAAAATTTAATTGTCACAAACGCAAACTTTTATTCGAACTGACTATAACATTTGCCAGTGACTGCAGTTGGGTTTATCTCTACAAGAAATTTGGAATTTGAATTTTGAACTACTAAAATTCCACAAAAAATGTCATTGCGTTGATTACTTTCAAGTGGAAAATTGGGAAGATGGGACCATACACTTTCCATTAAATAATTGGCCTATATTTGGCATTGTTGTTAACGTGAAATTTAGTCATTGTTTGATTAGGGATGGCAATAAAATCCACCTTGTCCCTCCTGTCAGGACCCCGTCCCGAATGGGTTGGCGGGGCGGGGCGGGCCAAGACGGGGAGCCCCAACACGGGGCGTGGAGCCTTGTCCCGCCCCGAACCAGCCCCATGAAGAAAATAATAAAAAATAAATTTATTTCTAGACAATTCACTCGTAAAAAATTCATTTTAAATTTGTATTTTATTATCTAATAATAACATAATTCGAAACTTTCAAAATGTAAAAAAATTAAATGAGGCAACAAATGGGGCAAAAAGTTGCCCCGTCCCCGTCTAAGGCGGGGTGGGGTCTTAGCTAAATGGGGCGGGGCGCCCGTTGCCATCACTATGTTTGATGGTCATTATTGAGA